TAATTAAATATTCAGTGTTTGGTGGGTTGGACTGGAGGACCTTTAGAAGTTCCTTCCTGCCCAAATCATTGTGTCATTTTATGAAATATTCACTGTTTGGTGGGTTGGACTGGAGGATCTTTGAAGGTCCCTTCCAATCTGAACCATTCAATCATTTCTATGAAATATTCAGTGTTTGAGCTCTCTGTGTGTCAGAAACGCTGGTTTGGGATGAAGAGGACACTGGCCATGCTCAGGGGAAGAGGGTGGGATGTGGAATCACAGAATCACTGAGTTGGAAGGGACCCACAAAGATCATCAAGGTCCAACTCCTGTGCATTTTGGAAATGAGCTTTTCTCCTCCCCAGCTCTTTTTTTCCCCCCATTCTTGCTTTTCCTTGAGCTATTTCTTCTGAAAATTCCACACGAGTGCTGAAAGAAGTTGTTCAAGTGGCAAAAACAGGTGTGGGGGGGGGAAGTGGGGTGTGTGAAAAAAAACCTTTCCATCTTTATTTTCCCAACAAAATCTGAATATTTTTTGAAGAGTTAAGGAAAAAAAAAAAAACCACAGCTAAAAATATAAATAAATCCCTTTTGTCTGCAGATCCCTGGTGGGAGTTGGGCTGAAACGTTCCTGAGTGACTCATTCCTGGGCAGCCCTTTGCCTTTTTGGATGGAAACTTGTCCTCAGCAGATTTTCTGGTATTTTCTAACCTGCCTGTGAGGAGGTGTTTCCTTTGTGGACTGAGGTAAAGGAGGCGCCTGCTTCTCCTGTGAAATTCCCACATCTGCCATCAAAGGATGGCTGTTTCTCCTGGAAAATGGTGATAAAAGCTCCATCCGTGTTTTCCTTCCCTGCCTCAAACTTGCTCATGATGATGGCCCTGGAGAAAAAAGTGTCTGCAACTGTGCTTGATCCATGAGCTGGGAACCTGTGGCTGGATCCTGCTGGAGACACCAAGCTGATGGATTTGGGTTCTTCATGCTCCTGAGGTGTCCACAAGGATTTCCAGGGCCTTTCTTGCCCCTAATGGAAATAAATGATAGGAAAAGAAAGAGGGAAAAGCAGGGAATCCCATAATTTAATTGGGAGAATAATTTTAGGGACGTGTAGGATAATTACTGGCCTGTTTCCTTATCAGAGGGGCATCCTCTGGGCAAGGCTGAAAATCCTAACCAAAACTCCAGCCATCAGAGGTGCTGTGACCCACACCTCTCTGGGCACAACCAGTAGGGAACACTCCCTTTTTTAGGGCTATTTTTCCTTTAATTGTGTTAATCCTGATGGCTTTTTACTCAGTTTTAGCCCTTTCCCTTCACTATCAGGATGGATTGTCCCCAGTTTCCCTGGGAGCAGCGGGGTGACTGTTCAGCTCTGTCTCATGATGATGATGATGATGATGATGATGGGTGGGATTTTCTAGTCCCTGCTTTTCTGTGGTGTTGCAGTGGAATCTCCACTCCACACCCTCTGCTTTCTCCAGATCAGGATGGAAGGAGCAAAGTGCTGGACACCTGGTGGAAGGTCAGAATTCAGCTGGCTGATGATGATCAATGCTGCCTGTTTTCCCTCAGGACAGAGGTATTTAGGCCCATTTGCAGCAGGATTGACTTCCTGGACTCCAAGCAACCTTTCTGTTGTCATCTCTGTGCTTCCAGCCCCAGTCCTAATGACATCCTGGATGCTGGAATTCAGTTCTCCTCCCACCTCTCATTCCTGTTTTCTGCTGTTAATGCACGCCTTCATGTCCACTTCAGAAACCACACCAATTCCCCAGAAAAACATCGGGCTCTGCTGAAAACAGGGGGATGAGGGATATTTTTTCCCCCCACCTCTTTCCCCACAGATGCATTTATCACTAGGGCAACCTCACTTGAGAGTTCACTACAAATCCAGGCCGATGGCTTGGATCCAGGCAGGAGAAGTTTTATGGACTGAGCTAAGCGTGAATTACACTTCTGGTCACGGCATTTTCTTT